CTGAAGAGTTTTGTGGCATGTCAAGTGCTGGAACTTGCTCCTGTTTAGCATCATCATCATAAAAGACTTGTTTAGGCTGCTGCCCATCCCAATCCCAGGTGCTCTCTTCTTCAAAAATAACATCCCTGCTGGTCACAATCTTCTTCGTCAGTGGGTTGAATAATTTATAGGCTTTGGAGGATTCACTTACGCCAAGAAAGATGCATTTCTCAGCTTTGTCATCAAGTTTTTTTCTTTTCGCATCCGGGATGTGGGCATAGGCGAGGCAACCAAAGATTCTAAAGTGATCTACAGCTGGTCTTCTTCCACTCCAAGCCTCTTCAGGAGTCTTGTTTTGAACGGCAAAAGTTGGACTTCTGTTTAAAACATGAATACTCCATTTTACAGCCTCCGGCCAAAAAGTCTTTGGAACTCTTCCTCTTGTTAATAGAGTTCTCACCATATTAAGAATTGTTCTGTTCTTCCGCTCCGATACACCATTTTGTTGTGGTGTATGTGCAGCTGTAAGTTCTCTTCGAATGCCATGTTGTATGCAAAAATCTTCAAATTCTTTTGAGCAATACTCGCCACCCCGATCTGTTCGAAGAGACTTAATAGTCTTGCCTGCTTCATTTTTCACAAGAGCTTTGAACCTTTTAAACATAGTAAGAGCTTCTGATTTTTCCTGTAAAAAATAAACCCACGTTTTCCTTGAAAAATCATCAATGAAGGTAATTAAGTATCTTTTACCTCCATTAGACGATGGGTTTATTGGGCCACAAATATCTGAATGCACCAACTCTAACGCATCCTTTGCTCTCTAAGACTTTCCTTTGGGAAACTGAGAACGGTGTTGTTTGCTGACAACACAGTCTTCACAAACTAGGGAGGGAACAGTAATGTCCGGAAGCCCTGTCACCATGGTTTTCTGTTGTAGAGTCCTCAGTCCACCAAAACTTAAGTGGCCATAACGAAAATGCCACAACCATGAGGGGTCCTTTACTTCAGCCATCAAACAAGATTGAATGCTTTCAATTTTCATTGGAAATAATCTGTTAGAACTCATCTGGACAGTCGCAATAGAACTTCTTTTATCAGGATCATAAATTTCACAAGTGCCTTTCTTAATTGTAATGACATACCCCTTTTCTTGCAACTGACTAGCACTCAACAAATTACTTTTCAAATCAGGAACATACAACACATTAGAAATTGTTTTCACGAGGCCATTCTTAGTATGTATCTTAACATCACCTTTTCTCATCACTTTCACAGTAGAGAAGTCACCAAAACTGACAGTAGAGTGAAAGCTTTCATTTAGATTCGAAAAAGAAGACTTACTTCCACTCATGTGATTGCTGCAGCCTGTATCGACATACCAAATATTCGACTCAATCTTTTTTTCCTTCATGGGCAGCCATCAACAAAGTTTCTGGTTCATTCGTTTCTTCTGCAAAATTTGAGTTCTCCTCTCTTTCTTTATACTTTGGCAGTTCAGTGACACATTCAGAAGCACTTTTGTTTGGATTGTGACTTATTAGAGATATTTTTACTATAGCACTTTTTGTGATGTGATGTATGTGAGATAAAAAGATAATTGAGAAGATAAAAAGGTGTGTTGGAAATTGTAATGATGATGTAAGCAAATATATTTTGGCAAATAAACCACAATCCAAACAAACCATATTTGTGACATCTAAAGCACTCTACTCTAGATTTGTCATGATCTCGATCTCCCCTTCCTCTTCCTCGGCTTCTGCCTCTTCCCTTGAGCTGTTGGAGCGAGTGTTGGTAGAAGCTTTTAAAGCTTGTTCCTCTGCTGTCCAGCTTCGATTCATCTTCTGTTCATGGACTAACACGGAGCTCTGCAATTCATCAAGAGAGAGGTCATCTATGTCGTTTGACTCTTCAATTGAGCAAACAACATAGTTAAATTCTCGCGTCATAGAACGCAGAATTTTTTCTAGCTACTATGTTAACATCTTTAATCTCTTCTCCATAGCATCTCATTTTATTTGCAATTTCCATCGTCCTTCCAATAAAGCTTGTACCAGATTCCGCATCCTTCATCTGCAAAACTTCAAAATCCCTCCTCAAGGCTTGAAGCTGTGCGCGCTTCACTCTAGAAGAGCCTTGATATTTTTTCTTCATTGAATCCCAAATATCCTTGGATGTATCTTTGCAAAGAATAGTCTCCAAGATGGGACGATCAATAGCCTGGAAGAGATAGTTCTTCGCTTTCAAGTCTTTGAGCTTTCTAGCTTCAATGTCTGTTTGCTGAGCATCTGTCACGGTTGCACCTGCTGGTGGTTCTTGAATTCCAGATTCAACCACTGACCAATATTCTTTGGACCGTAAAAAATTTTCCATGAGCATGCTCCAGTGGTCATAGTGACCATCAAAGCGAGGAATGGCGGCTTGCACAAAATTTGAGTCATTGGCCATTTGGATAGGGTAGTGGGGAAGAGTAGATAATTTCAGGTGTTTCACTCTCAGGTCTCAGGAATCTTGTAGCTCTGATACCACTGATAAGAAATAGCAAAGATAACAGTAGTACTGTGGCCAAAAAGTCATACTTAATCGTAAACTTTGGAGCCTTTAAATAGGCAAAACACACAACTGAAATCCCTTAAGATCAGGTCCCATATCTGGCACCTTCTCCATAACCCCACCACTCCTAAAGACTAGACCACTAAGCCACTAAATCTGCTGACTAAGTCATAACTGAAAGACTCCAACGTACAGCAAATTCCTAAACTCTAGGCCACTAAATGAATGACTCCATTTGAAAAACAAGTTAAACAATAACATAAGTAAAAGTTTCAACAAAAGAAAATGTCATATAACAACAATTTTGATCTACATCAAGCACAAGAAGCTAGCTGGAGAGACTCGATTTATGTTGTTATGGCTCCTGACCCCCCTGAGCCTGAAGAGTTGCCCGAAGTGTGCAGGTGCGTAAGGAATAAGGTGCTATGCAAATTCTAATTACTGGAATTTTCAGTGGAAGTAATCAAATTAAGCAATAGCTCAAGATGCTAGCCTTTTAACGATAGAGTGCAGTCAAAACTCAATACTAGATCAGCATAATAAGCAGCTATTGAACTTGTATCAAAGTCTTAAATCTCAGGCCACATATATGCTACTTTTTATGGATAAATCTGCAAAGCTACCAGTTTTCTATCAACTTCGATGTTCATTCATTTCTCCAATCCTCAATTTAACACTTCTTCGGTACGCAGGGATGTAATAATTCTGAGTTTATGATGAAGTTAGGGCATATTATGTTTGAATTGCTATCCGAGGCACTTGGTCTGAAGCCAGACCATCTGAAGAATATAGATTGTGCTAAAGGACTTTTCATCCTAGGTCATTACTATCCTCCATGCCCTGAACCAGAGTGCACCATGGGCTTAAGAGACCACACAGATAGTGGCTTCTTAACAATACTTTTGCAAGACCAAATAGGTGGCCTCCAAGTCCTCCATGAAGATCAATGGATAGATGTACCTTTCTTGCCTGGTGCTTTAATTGTCAACATTGCAGATCTTCTGCAGGCAAGTATCTCGTGCATGAATCACCAACCTTGTTCTATTTGCATTACTTTCGCAATGATCTGATTTTAACCAGCTATAACTTCCTCGATAACTACCCCTCCCTTCCTCCCCCCGAAGAAAACTGATTCCTTTTTTTTTTTTAATACTGAAACAATAGATTGTTATTGATTGAGAGCTAAACTGTACAATTCTTGAGCATAGGCATGTTGAGCTTTACAAACATGTACTACGACACGGAGGAAACCAGCATTCCTCATCTTGTGTTAAACTAACAGCATAGTTGCTAATCATTCTACTTCTTATACTACTCTCATTTGAGGACAGAATAAATGAGCATTTCAAAAACAGCAATCTTAATGTATGGATGTCCTCGATTTGAGCAAAAAGTCTAACATCCATAGTTTTCTTGGTCTTCAAAAGATGTTGTAGCTTATGTGATGAAATTTCCAGTTTGACTGCCTGCCAGTGTTGCTCCATTGCTTTGCTCAGTGCCAGTTTAATGGCTTGTGCATAATCCAGCAGCATCTCGCCTGTACTTCCTTCTCGTAAGGCCCAAACAACTTGTGTATTATCAGCCTTCGAGGCTATTATGCCTACCCCTAGCACCTTGTTTTCCTTCTGGCTGCTGATTTCAATGCTTATGGACATGCAATTGCCATCATCAGTGTTTGTCTGCGCTTCCTATTCCACTGTTGTTGTTTTCTAAATGCTTACTCGTTTATCCATTTCCTGAGCTGCTACGAACTCTATCGATTCTGATTGAGCTTTCCGTACAATTTCAAAAGGGTGCTGGTGTTTACGCTATCATTCCTTGCTTTCCACAGTTGCCAAAGAATGTTGACTGTAAGCACTATGTGGTCAGCACCTCCCGTTTTGCTTTTAGCTTCAAACTGATTCCTCCCTTTTGCTATATTTTGGTTCAAAACTAAATTTCTCTTATTGAATATACTTATTTTTCCCATGACTCATGCAGCTGGTCACCAATGATTAGTTCAGAAGTGTAAACCACAGAGTTCTCGCGAAACAAGAAGGCCCAAGAATTTCAGTGGCAAGTTTCTTCAGGACACATTTTGATCAAGAAGAGAGTACGCTAAGGATTTATGGACCAATTAAAGAGCTATTATCAGAAGAAAACCCACCACTGTATAGAGAGACCACAGCCAAAGAGATGCTTACGCACCGTTACAACGATGGCCTGAAAAAAGGCCCACTTTTATCGCATTTTAGGTTGAATGCTACTATGAAAACATGAAATTTGCTATTGTTCGTAAGTTCAGTGTTCTCTTAAACCTTTTGCTGCAGTCAAGATGAATCAATATGTTCTATATTTTATCATATGCATGTCACTTACTACTGTATATTAAATCTTGATGATTACAACAACTTGTTTCTTCTACTGCATATCTAGGAGGTTCATGCTGCCTTGCTTCTCCTCCCATTCGTAAATTGGCCATGCTATAATGGATCAAACGATTAGCTTGAAAGGCCAATCGTAAAACACGAACCAAGAACAATAAAGATCAATATCTACTACATTGGTTCGAATTTACAAAAGCAGAAATCTACTTCAGCAAAATATGAAACCGACTAAAATTAGCTTATGAGCACTAGATCAGGGGTTCTTTTTTCACCATGAAACTGTCTAGAGTTGTTTGGCCAGCCTTAGTCCTTTTTTTATCCCACACTTCTCCGGAGTCACTTGGTCAACCATTACTGGCTTTTCCATGCTACATTTCTGCAGAGTTGTTTGGCCAGCCAAAAGTTTATACGGATTCTTCTTACATCTTCCCTTAAAATGATTCCACAAACCACTGGTTCCATTTTTGTTAGAGCAACAAGCATATTCAGCTCCACAATAATTGCAAGCAGCCTTGTTCCTATCAGATTCCAATCTAGTGAAATGAAACCATATCTCACTCCTACTTTTCGGATATACCTTCATCCTTTTCAGGGGTTGAGGAGGCAGAGGCGGTATAGGCCTGTCCCTGAACTTTGAAGTCGTTTGAGTACCTTCAGTTGAAGCAGCTCCAGTATTTCCTCCAACATTTGCACAAGAATTCTCTGAACTGCTCTGCCCATTCAGTTTGTCAACGTAGCTATTTATCTTTCCCTCCAACTAAGAGAAAAATATTCCATATGACAAAAAAAGAAATAAGTGGTTATGAAAGGTAATTGGCTTGAATAGCTTTGCATAATCAAGTGTTCAAACTCATATCCAAATTCCATTCTACCAAAAAGGGGAAAAAAATCCAATTTTTATCCTATCAGGAGGAGGGGGGGGGGGTGATTCCAGTAAGGAGAATTGAATAATAAAAGAAGGGCAAAAAGAAGAAGAAAAAGGACCCCATTTCTCTTATCACTTCTGAGACGTTTATTCTATAATTGATAATTCAAGAATTTCATAGGATGCAAATGGTTAGCTACCAAGAAGGGAAAAAAAGAAAAAGAAAAACATTAAAAAATGAGAAGGTACCATTGATGGGGGGCTGGGGCTGAGACTGATACCGGCGGGAGATTCAGAATTTGACTTCTCCAGACTACTCATGATTCAGTAAAAGCCTTAATACGTCATTTTCCCTTGAGAGAGAGAGAGAGAGAGGGGAAGGAAGACGGGCGGTGGCGCTCGCCAGAGAAAGGGTGTCTCGGAGACTTGGCGGGCTGGGTTCAATTGGAAGTGAAGTTGAAGAATGGAGACTTGGCATTTTAGCACCTCTATGTCTTGAAAAAGGAAGAGAAACTTCGAAAAAAACGTTTCTTGAATCCTGAAAAAAAAAAAAAAGGGTTGTTCCCGCCTTTTCGCGCCAGTGTGGATTTCATTTCATCATCGGTTCACGGTTCTCGGTTCTCGGTTAACCGGTTCCGATCATATCATAAAATTTTGTAAACATCAAGTTTCCCGTTTGGCCGTTTCTGCATGACAACCACGAGAACTATCCCTTGAGTAATTCTTTCCCTGCCAGCACAAAAAGACTCAACACTATGGTGTGCATGAACAGCAGGGGAGATCATTCTTCAGGCAAGTTTTTGTTGGCAGTTAATTAGTAGTTCAAAAGCCATCTTTCTTTCTTGCTTGTTTATTAGTACTTTGAAAATGAAAGAGACACCAACAGGGGAATCCTTTTTACTGCCTTTTTATCATAACCATTATGCTGAAGGACTAGGCAGCTTATATCCTCTCAAAGAATTATACTTTTGATGCAATTAAGAATTATCGTACCTTGACATTTGATTGTATGCCATGTGAACTCTTCTGTTGATGATCAAATAACTCATTTTGAGGTTAGTCAGATTGACAAGGGAATTCTTAATTTTGGAGAATTAGAAGTGCATTAGAAAAACAGTTGATTTTAAAGTTGAGAGACAAGCCAAACATTCTGAACTTTTTCTTGATGTTTTCACTGAATGACGACATGCAGTGGAACCTGAATCATTTTAACATCTTAAATCAAATGCTTTGGACAACATGAATTGGCTTAAGACTATTTCGATACAATGATAAAACAATTGAATAAAATGGCATTTAGTACCTAAACTTTGGTTTTGCTTTGTGAGATTTGGAGCTTCCATTGAATTGCGAATGAACAGACCATTTTTATTCTTTTGTACATAGATTAAGAAGTTCTTAGGGCTTTTCTTGGAGTGTTTGCTGGACAATACTTAAAGTTTGAACCTTAGCTTTTGATAATCACCTCTAGAAAAACAGTGAGAAGCGAGAAATGTTTCCACAATGTGAGTTTCATCGTGTAAAATTATGCTATTCTAAGTTGCTACAGCCTACGGGTACATATTGTTTGCTCGCGAAGATTGTCCCTGAAATTTACTTGAAGGTTTCCTCAAAAAAAAAAATTGAAAATTAAAATAGAAATTTGTGTTTGTTGAAGCATATATCTTCATAGAGATATAACCAGATCAGACTACTTGTTTCTTTATTTTTATTATTATTATGATCATGTTTGTTGTTGTTTCTTGTCAAAATTGATTAGCAATGCTAGTTTCTTCGTAGAGAATCTGCAAGTTTATCAATACATACTGTTCACTTTACTACAGAAAAAGTGCTTGATGGAACATCACCAATTGTCACATTTCAAGGTGTCTAAACGTACCCCAGTATTTACTCCGTTCCATTGAAAATATCATACTTTATATTTTGGAATGTTCCTAGACAATTGTCATTAGAAAAGTCAAAACGTCTTTTAATCTTTTTTTTCAATACAGCTATTCTTTCTAGAGATAATTGTAGAAATCTCCCTTGAGATTTCAAACAGTAGCACTTATTTTCCCTGTGGTTTCAGAAATAGCACTGATCTCTCTTGAACTTACTGATTCTTTGTATATTCAATCTAGGCTAGAAAAAATGTCATTAAAATATTATTTTAAGGAGTGAGATGAGAAATTTGTGCCAAATTTGCTAACAAAAGATTGTGAAATTTACCTTTATATCCTAATTAGTTGGAAAAACCTAATGAACAAATTTTGCAAAAGAAACCTTGTTTCTTGTCAACAAATTAACCAATTAAACTAATAAAATCACCTGTAAGTGTTACTTTCACATTTTTAATTTATGTTAAATACAAAACCTACCAATTCCCCTTTCGTAAAAATATTAGTGTAACAATTTCTGAATTTTACTTACAAAAATATGTATTTAACATAAATTAAATGATTTAGAATAAAATGCCCATAAATAACTAGTATTTTGTTCATGTAATGGAGGAAACCCATAAAGAGCTGGTATACTATGGGCAATTTCCTTTTTTTTTTTTTTTACTTTCACATATTTAATTTTTGTTAAATACAAAACCTACCAGTTTTTCTTTTGTAAAAATATTAGTGTAACTCTTTTTCAATTTTAGTTACAAATATTTATGTATTTTACATAAATTAAATGATTCAAAATAAAATGCCCATAAAAAGCCAATATTTTGTTCATGTAATGGAGGAAAGCTATAAAGAATTAATATTTTATGTGCTATTTCTTTTTTTTTTAAAAAAATAATTAATTTATATTAAATGGATAACCTACCGATTTCTTTTTGTAAGAATATTACTGTAATACTTTTTGAATTTTACTTAGAAACATTGATGTATTCATCATAAATTAAATATTTGAGAATAAAATACCTATAAAGCGCTGGTATTTTAAATAGGTAATATCCATTTGCCCATAAACAACACCCCTTAAAGTTTATTAATTGTTAATTAATTTGTATTGTTTTATCATTCTTTTGCTAATACTACTTGGCATGTAGCACAGAGGGCAAATTTGGCACAAATTTCACATCTCACTCCCCAAAATAATATTTTAATGGCACTTTTTCTAACTTGGACTAAATATGTAAAGAATCAGTAAGTTCAAGGGAGGTAAGTTCTATTTCTTAAATCACAGAGGAGGTAAGTGCTAGTGTCAGAAACTTCAGTGGAGGTTTCTGCAATTTTCCCTCCTTTCTAATCAAATGCATATTATCATTCAAATTTAAATTTTGAATTTATGAGATTAAATTGAAAAGAGAAATACAAATATCACAATCAAATCACAATTATTAAAAAATTAATTTCTCCAAATATGACTAAATAAATGCGACGAAAGGAGTATTAGTTTTCCAATAGAAGCAGTACAACTACAACCTACAACAGCATTAAGTTAAACGTAAATTAAGAAATTATTGTACCAAATCCTTTTTCTCGAGAAATGGTTTTCCCTCGAGATTTGGTGCCTGATCAGTGGACCAACGTTTTAATACTCTTTTGACATTCTTGCGGCTTAGCTTGCAAACAAGCAGATGATTTGTTGGCGCTACCGCCACTACAGCGAAGTTGGCTACAGCCTACAAGCGCTACTGCAGCGAAGTTCGGTCGACTGTATTCATGACGACTTACCTACCTCTTTTACTTCTCCAAACCAAAAAATATGTCATCCTTTCCTCATGGATTTTTCTAGCTATTTCATTCTAATGTCCAACTTCAAAGCCAAAAAGTGAAAGGGACAAATTACACCTCAGGCTATAATGGATCAATACAGGCTTTGATGACCTAAAGTTTTGATATTTACACCTTTAACATCTTCTTTCTACACCTTTTTTCCCTTCTTTTCTTCAAAATAATTTTTGAATCATTTGGTTTCCATTGGAAACTCTTCAAGAAAAAGTAGTTAGTACTGCAATTTTCAAGGAGAACATATGGGATGAGCCGTATTACATTATTGCAATAAGAGTTTTAATCTTGTGACAGGAGATTAGCTTCCAGTAATTGCCCAAATGGATATGCCATGCCCCTTTAGTTCCAATTCTTAAAGGAGGAAAATTTCAGCCTCTGCTAAGCATCTGCACAACCTAGTCTGTTGCTTTCTCAAGTTTCTTTCATCAATAAAGATAACAACCCGCAGTTGGTTTCTTTCCAATTCGCATTGCACTCCAGAGTTTCCAAGTTATCGATAGTCAAAAACTGCTGCTACATGTGACAATCTCCATCAGTCCAAGTTAACTTTGAAAGATAAGGTTGCGTTTGGATTGCATTTTCCGTCATTTTTCATGAAAAAATTACTGTAGCGATTTGATATATGTGAGGGAAAAAGGTGATAGGGAAATGTGATCACGGAAAACGACAATATTTTCCGACGGAAACAACAATCCAAACAAGGGCTAGCGGTCCTTCAAGATTATTTGTAGCTTTGCTTCAACAAAACAAGTTAGACTCTGTGTTTCTCCCCTGAGGTTCATGACGATTTCAATGAGCTCTCCCGTGGTTTGCAAAATTTCACCTATGTCCCTGATTTGATAGTTTTAGTAACCAAAACATTAAAATAATATTGATTTGGTTAATTTTTTTAAATAAATATCCAAAATGCCCTTGTGTAATGAATTTTAATTTACTTTCCTATATAATTGTAAGATTATCTTGCATAATTATAAAGAAAAAGTGCCAAAGTTTTAATGTCTATATCTACTATTTTGAGAAACAACTATAATGATAATCTTATCACTTTGATCGGATACATTTGATAGTATTTTATTTTGAATTTAGATTTATATGACAGAGAATAAAGTGTTGAAATAATTGTTTTAGAGCTTGGGGCTTTTCTGAGCAGTGGAATTATCATAATTTGGTAGCGAATTTGGATAATTTCTTTTTGATTTATTGTTGATTTTGACACAAAAAAAATAGAAATCAAAGATTTGGAAAAAATTGGATCACATATAAAGTTAATTCATCAAAAAAAAAAAAAATACCAGCTCGACATTTGGTAACAGTAAAAGTTAGATGTACTAATGGTAGTTCTATAATTTTATTGGCGAAAAATGAAAAAGAGGAATAAGAAGGAAAATAATGAAAATATAATTTTAAAACTCATTCTTAGTATAAGCATACCAAATAAGAAAATTTCATTAAAATGTTTAAGGATTGTATTGTTATTTTAAATAAAAACAGAGGTACATGTAATTTTTAAAACTTTGAGGTTCAAGTGAAATTATTAAAAGCCTCAAGGGAAGTTTCTCAAATTACGCCTCAAATATATCATCCTGTTCAAGCCATATCGAATTTGCAGCAGAGGCGATGACAGAATATGATCGAAGAAGTGAACTAGAAGAGTTTGATAATACAAAAGCTGGAGTGAAAGGACTTATAGATGCTCAGTCAACGAAAATACCGCGCATATTTGTTCATAATGAGCTCAAGCTTGAAGATAACTCAAGTCAAGGGAACTGTCAATTGAATGTTCCTGTAATTGACTTTGCAGGAGTGAATGAAAACCCAGATTCTCGTAGCGAAATCATCAATAGAGTAAGAGAGGCATGTGAAACTTGGGGCTTTTTTCAGATCGTCAACCATGAAGTTCCTCTAACTGTTATGGATGAAATGATTGATGCTGTTAGAAGATTCCATGAGCAGGACATCGAGGCGAAGAAGCAATTCTATTCACGCGATGTGACCAAAAAGTTCTATTACAATTCGAATTTTGATCTGTACCAAACTTCAGCAGCTAATTGGAGGGACACTCTATCTTGTATATTGGCTCCTGATCAACCTGATCCTGAAGAATTGCCAGCAGTCTGCAGGTAACATCTCCTGAAACAATTTTTAGGTTACTGCCTTTGTCAGATTTTCACTAGCAATGTTCATTTTATTGTGGTGGCAAACTACACAGGCAGCCTGTCTAGTGCCTACTAATTTGATTGGCTTACAAATTCGTCTTATTCATATCCTCTGGAAGTAAGATCACTACTTTTATGCAGTCTTTTTCTTCTCTTGATGCATAGTAATACAGGACGCTTTGGTTGGATGAATGGGGGTCAAGGTTCCATATAATAGCTAGAAAGCATTTTCTATACCAAGGAAGAACACTCTTTTCTCCTTCAAATGCATCTATCCTCTGTTTAAGTCAGGAGAAAAACAATAACCAAGCAATACTATATACTACAATAACCAAGCATTGTCAATGGCCACATTGTTTTCTACGAAAGCATGCTCTCTCCGATTAAAAAGTTAACTTCAGCCCAAAGATGAGGAGAAAAGAGAAAATCAAAGGGGTTCTTTAACAATGACAAAGGTTGGGGTCTGTAAAACATACTACGAAGGCAGCCACAACCTATGCTAAAGAAGTTGTAAAACTTAAGTGCACAAAACTGAACGAGGTACCATAGAGCAAAGAGTTAAACCAAAATATGCAAAAATCAAGACTAAGAGCATCACAAGACATCTGGAATTTGTCATTCCCTGTTAGTATAGCAAAACCATCTGAATAATCTGCAACTATTCTGTACTTGTAACTAATGGTTTCCAAATCTAACTGGTATAGCATTGTTGTCAACACTTCCCTACTATGCATAATGTGGGTCTCAAAGTATACAGCTAAGATCACAGAACAACTACAGAGCAACAATTTTGATCGACTCATCCATCATCAGAATCATCTAGGTTTTGTTCTTATGAATTGTGCAGAAGTATTTAAATGCGGTATGTTTTGTTGCAGAGACATCCTCCTTGAGTATTCGAAACATGTAACCAAGCTTGGGCAAACTCTGTTTGAATTGCTGTCCGAAGCACTTGGTCTTAAACCGGGTTACCTGAAAGATATTGGTTGTACTGAGGGACTTTTTCTTGTTGGACATTACTATCCAGCATGCCCTGAGCCTGAGCTAACACTTGGTACTAGCAATCACACAGACAGTGGCTTCCTTACTCTGCTTATACAAGACCAGGTTGGTGGCTTGCAAGTACTCCATCAAAATCAATGGATTGATGTCCCTCCCTTGCATGGAGCTGTATTAGTAAATGTTGCAGATCTTTTACAGGCAAGTTTTGACGTATTAAATGGCTTAAAAACCTTATTCAAAAGACTATTCTTTCATTCTATCAATCCTTAGAGTTTCTTCTTGTTTTTTTGTCTCAGCTAATCACCAATGACAAATTCAAGAGCGTCAATCATCGAGTACCAGCTAAAAGAGTAGGACCTAGAATTTCAGTAGCAAGTTTTTTCAGAACACATTTTGGCGAAGGGTCTGAACAACGCATATATGGACCAATAAAAGAATTGATATCTGAAGAAAATCCTCAAATCTATAGGGAAATATTTACAAAGGACTACCTCTCACTTTACTACAAGAAAGGGCTCGATGGGACATCACCATTATCATACTTTAAGCTGTTGAAGTATTGAGAGCCATGTTTCTGAAATAAAAGTCAGCTTTACAAGCTACTAGTTTCAGTTACATATGGTCTGTCCTGAGAAAGGATCATGTTCCTCGAACTTGATGTGATTTCCACAAGGTGGTGAGTATGCAGCCACTCATCCAATTCTAATAACTTAAATATAGAGGTATGGTGGCTGTGTTTATTGCACTAGCATATGTGTGATAGCAGATTTTGGACTATGAATATATTTGCCTTTTCCCCGTGTCTCAATTACCATGCCTTTAGCTTCATTTCTTCCTTGGAACGTTGGGGCTTGATTTTATCTGTAATGATGTTGTTGCTTCTAATCCAGAAACCCACATCAGCGGTAAAAGTTTTCTGGAACTAAGAAGGAATACTTAATGGAGAACTGATCATTAGACCTTCATATCAAGTAATCCTAAAATTGTGTTTTTAACATAGCAAGGTGGGGCTACAATATATCAATTATCAAAGCTAATATTTGGCAGATTTAAATGTTAGTTCTCTTTCAATATTACTAGTATAAGAGAACGTGCCTTGCACGCTGCTTGGTATCTTGCTTAGGGTTAAGTTTATAATTTAATAGTTATTAATTTGAAAGATTATTGTGTATATACAAATTTTTAGGAGATGCAAAAAGAGATACTTGAAATATAAATTCCATTTTATAACCAAAAAAAAGGGCAAAAATAGATGAACAATTAGTGTAATTAGCTAATTTGGTTTGTTTTTTCTTAGCTAACCATATATTTTAAAGAAAGCATATGTGCAAGTATTGTGCATGAATTGAATTATAGAAACACCTCAGAAGACCAAAAGAAAGTTATGGTTATGCTATTGATGTTATGCACATATTAGGTTGGATCTTTTCTTTCCTTGATTTCATATTATTAAAAATGATAAAGTGTATTAGCATAAATAATTTTGCAAGATCAAGATTTTATTGTGATTTCACAATTTCTCAAATAAATTTTGGTTAAAGAATCAATATTCTCATGTTAGTCTACTTGTTTAATTCTTGTTTTAGATTTTAGTCTTGAGTTTGTTTTGAAGGACAATGTTATTCATTTTGTAGCTTACATCTGCCCAATGTAATGATATTTTTAATTAGATATTTGTTCTATAATCCTATCAAGTATGTTAAAACTAAACAATCAAAAGAATTGAACTTCATTTTTATTAGCAGTCATACATTAAAGATTTGGATGTCAACAAATTCAGCAAGCTTATGATGCTGACAAGCATTACTATGGTTGTAATAATGCAGTCGGTAAATGATGCGGGGTCAAATTGTAATACTAATTAATCCACTTTTTTCTCTCACTCTTACTTTTCAGACGTTCACAATTGGTGCTGCACTGCTATTTTCTGCCTCGCGGCTACATTAGAGGGAAGAAGTTTCTATCAAAGTTTTTGGTTTTTCACAAATTGGCCCTCATATCTGATAGCTCAATGCCCTGCTATCCAAAAGCAGGTTTAAGGATCCTATAAAATTTTGGTTCTTACTTATATGTTCCAATCTCAGCCAATATGATATTCATACAAAAGTTTCAGCATTAATTCATTCTGAAGTGTGAATAAGTACAATCATAGTAATTTGCTAATATGCCAATTTTTCCAAATACAAACGGGTCAAATTTGAATAAAACTTCAAACTCGTCAAAATTATACCCCTACTTGGCACACTTTTGTTGATTATTGAGCAACTTATTCGATAAGCTGCTCAGTGATGCCTCAGTTTACTTGTGAATTTCCGAACTTTGAGAAAAGACTCAAAGAACAGCCCACCTCAATAGTTCGTCAATCCTAGCACCTCTCTGGAGAAAAAAATATGGTGGTCACAAGCAGTGTTGGAGAAGTTCAACCCGTGGTTTCGCCTGACTATGATCGAGAACAAGAATTCAGAGCATTCTTTGATTCTAAAGCTGGTGTGAAGGGAATAATCGATTCAGGTGCGACAAAGATTCCTCGAATTTTTGTCCACGATTTTGATAAGCCTGAGGACAAGCCGTGTCCTGGAAACTCCAATCTTTCCATTCCCGTCATAGATATTGGAGGCATCAACCAAGATGCAGATACGCGCTCAGACACTTTTGATAAAATTCGTGCTGCATCTGAGGAATGGGGGTTCTTCCAGGTAGTTAATCATGGAATTCCATCAACTGTGATGAACAAAATGGTCGATGCAGTACGCCAGTTTCATGAGCAAGATGTCGAGATCAAGAAGCTATATTGCACGAGTGACCCAAAAGCTATGTTCAGATATAATAATGGCACTTTTGATCGTTCCCAAATGAAAAAATCAGTTACCTGGGGCGATTGTATTTCTTGTGAATTTGATCATCTTCCAGCTGACTTTCCAGAATTGCCAGGGGAGTTCAGGTATGTGAAAGCTCAATTAATTACTTCACATCACTCAAGTTTGCCAAGTCAAATTTTTAAGGCAACGCTTTTGCCTAATAAATTCTTATGATGAATAAGTACACAGAACAAGATATGATGATCCAACCCTTTTGTTTTGCTAGTACATCATTTAACATGTTCATTGCTTCATATAATGCAAGATGACTTGCAGATGTTTCTTTTTGCCCTGGCCTTATCAGATTACTGTTTACTGGTGCAGGAATCCAATGTGCGAGTACATGAATTGTGTTAATACATTAGGTATGACTCTATTTGAATTGCTGTCTGAGGCTTTGGGACTAAGAAAAAGTTATCTGAAAGATATTGGCTGTGCTGAGGGGCTTTACTTCGTTGGGCACTACTACCCACCTTGTCCTGAACCCGAATTAACTCAGGCGGCTATTGCCCATAGTGATTTAGCCTTCCTGAATATGCTCCTGCAAGATCAAATCGGTGGTCTTCAAGTGCTTCACCAAAATGAATGGGTTGATGTCACTCCCTTGCCTGGAGCTATGGTCGTGAACTTTGGAGACATGATGCAGGTAAAGATTTAGGTGTACTTTGAGCTCCAAGCACAAGAAATTTTGTAATTGCAAGTATGCATATTTAAACATGATTCTATTCAAGCGTGTGTATGGATTGAAGATTCATAGCATGCCGTACACTTGCTAATCTTTCTGTATTTCCCAAGTGCAGCTGATCACAAATGATAAATTCAAAAGCAGTAAGCACAGAGTACTGGCGAAAAAGGTTGGCCCTAGAATTTCAGTGGCAACCTTCATGAGGCCCGCGAGAAATGAAGTAGTTACATCGCGAATGTATGAGCCAATTGAGGAGTTGCTCTCAGATGAAAATCCCCCAATCTATAAAAGGACAACGATAAAAGACTGCATGGCCCAGCTCTACTCGAACTTAAGCGCCGGTGATGGGAGTTCTGCATTGCTACATTTCAAGGTCTGAAAGGCAGTGAAAGAGGAAATTTCTTTTGCTGTGTCTTGCTATGTTGATTGTGTGCGTGAAGATAACCACCCGTGTGAAAATTTGGGTTCACCTAAAATAACGATTTTAGCTATACGCTTAAACGATACATACAAACATTGAAATTCCTAAAAATAAGAGGTGGATTATCTTGTAATTTACATCTATTGTCGTCTGTTGTACAAGTCGCTGTGTGTGTCTGAAGGATTTATTGTCTTATTACAGGTGTATCATACCTGAGAACTTGTGGTATTCCTACAGAAATATGTGCCCAAAAAAGAGTTGCTTGATTTTTCATTTCCCTCGTACAAGTAATAGTAGTAGTTGAAGCAAGAAATGAGTGAGACCCTCTAGAAAATTCGGCCATGGCATTCTGTAAATGGTCATAAATCAATGGATTGGCATTGGATCGTTAAGTTATTATCTACGGAGTACATGTAACTTCCAATTCCTCTTCCCCAAGATGAAAAAATAGAGGTTTTATTCCTTCTTTTAGGTTAAAGTAATTTAGGCAAGAAAGTCCCAAGATAGTAGAAGTAGCTGGCCTTGGGATTTGTACTGCTGCTTCAGTCTAAAATATTTTTGCTTCCAAATGAGCTTTCTTGAAATGCCCGTCTCTAAAGGAGTTATTTGAGTATCTCTTTGATTTAGTCAGGTTGTTATAAGTACTGCACCAAGTCTAACACAAATTAGTACAACTATGCGATACTAAAAGTTAATATATCGATATTTCTAGTTACTTCTTTTGCTTTTCCTTTTTCCATGAAAAATAAATTATGATAATACCACTGAAATTGTTTGATTTTTAATTAGCTACATGAACAAGTTTTAAATTTTCTTTTCGAGTTTGATGGTCTAAATTTGAGCAGTAATCAAAAATTAATTATTTGCTAGCCATTGCGGTTGGCCCAATGACTAAGAGAAGGCTATTTATTATACTTTTTATGTAGTAATATTCTCTCCGTCTCATTGAGAATATCCTACTATCCATTGCAGGATGTCCTAAAATATGTGTCTTCTTTAAAAGTCAAAACACCTTTTAATCTTTCTTTCCAATATATAATCCATTTCGCTAATCATATGCATGTTACCATTCAAATTCAAATTTCGAATTTGTGAGAGTAAAATTAGAAAGAAAAATACAAACATCACAAACAAAACTACTACTCTTAAAAAGTTGGATTCCTGAAACAAAGCCAAATAATTAGGGATTGAGGAAGTACTAATGATGAACCATTATTTTCTTCTAAATCAATAGATATGATATAACGAATTTCAATCATCATAATAAATTAAAAAGAGCATAATTTGAAACTTCAATCATTAATTATTAAGGTATAATTGAAATAACAAAATCTAAAATTACAATGATGCTATGGATAGGAGATTATTTGAAATAATTACTGTAACACTTTTTATGATGTGATGTATGTGAGATAAAAAATTAATTGAAAAGATAAAAAAGTGTGTTGAAAATTATATTTATGATGCAAATAAATAATTTGAAGCCAAAAAATGGCTATCCAAACATTACAATTGAATATGGACCAATAATGAATTTGTCGGCATATTATTTAATACCGGTTAATTTTGATGGACCAGAGCCCTCCAATTTCGTCTTGTACCGAAAATAGTAAAGAAGATTATGTCACCATATCAGTGCCCACTCCGGTTAGAGCAAACAGGAACACAATGCCCTACAACCACCAGCGATCTATTTGGGCTGCAGCCAGGAAACAATGCCCTACAACCAGTTTTGGGTCACTCCATCTTTAAACATTAGATCGGGATTTTGAACTTTACCTGCAACGATAAAAATTAAAAAATTCAAGGTGGTGTATTCAAGTTTTTATACCAACTAACTAGTCCCTTATACACAAGTCTCTTGTAATGTTTATGATTTTATTGGTCCAAGAGTGTAAGCAATTTTATGATGTGGGTCAATGTTGAACTAAATATGAATTGCTCTATTTGTGGTCCATGGCACTGTGACTAATTATTTCTTTCCTTTTTTTTTTGGGAGGAATGTGACTAATTATTTCATTGTTACTTTAGCCTTCTTGCTGTCACGCTTCTATCTCTAATGTTCGTGACAGGTAAAAGTAGTCCATCATGGTGGGCCAGTCGTTGCCCGTTGGGGAAGGTATCAATAAATAAATAATGCATCTGTCAGACTCTCAGTATAGAAAATTTGAAGCGTGTTGGATCTTTTTGGGCATCCAGAAACGACAAATTTGCATTTGACCAAGGGATAATTTCACAAACCTCTCTTGAGATTTCTGATAATTTCATTGAACTCCCCTGAAGTTTAAAAAATTACACATACCTCCGTTCATTTGATAATTTTAGTAACAAAACCTTAAAATAAAATTGTCTTGGTCAAATTTTTAAATGAATACCCAAAAATGCTCTTGTGTAATGAGTTTTAATTTACTTCCCTATAAAATTATAAAATTATCTAATGTGATTATACGAAAAAGGTGGCGAATTTTTCATATCTATACCTACTATTTGATAAATAACTATAATAATAATTTTATCACTATGATAGGATACTTTTGATGGTATTTTATTATGAATTTAGATTTATAAGACAGAGAATAAAATGTTGAAATAATTGATTCAGAGTTTAAGAATTTTTTGAGTAGTGGGATTATTATAATTTAGTAGTGATTTTGAGCAATTTCTTTTCGATTTATTGTTAATTTTAATACCAAAAAATAAAAAACAAAGATTAGCAAAAAAAATATCGGATTACGTATAAAGTTAACGCATCAAAATAATCATTAGTTCGACATTTGGTTATAATAGAAACTAGAGATAATAGTGGTAATTTTACAATTTTATGAGCAAAAAATTAAAATAAAAAGGAATAAGAATGAAAAAATAATTTTAAAGTCATTCTAAGTATAAGCATACCAAACAAGGGAATTCATTAAAATATTTAAGGGTAGTATTGTCATTTTAAATGACAAGAGAGGTATATGTAATTTTTCAAATCTCAGAGGCCTCAGTGAAATTGATAGAGACCTTAGGGGAGGTTTCTGAAACCATCCCTTGATGAAATTGTAAATAATGAATCTGTCAGTATTGAAACGTGTTGCCGTCGATCTTGGGCATACAGAAACGGCAATTGAAACGTGATGCCATCGATCTTGGGTATACAGAAACGACAAATTTGCATTATAGAGTTCCTCATAAAATAATATCTGGGGAAGCTAGAGCTTTTTTTTTATTACTAGTAAAATGTGCCTTCAGATTATATCGCATCTCTTCTTCGTTGTTTTTTAAACTAACGCACGCAACTTGGCAAGCTGTCATATTTCTTGTCTCTCTGTTTGACTAGTAATTTTGCAAAGGCTTTGGAGACTGCCAATCAAACTCAAAATTCATTTTATTTATAGCTCGAGGTTCTTTTTTTGAGGTTCATTCACTATTGCATTTTAATAGTAATATTAATTAAGTAAATTCCTGGTAAGCATTGGGTGATCTGAAACTATGGTTACAAATAACCATTCTTTGAGAAACAGCCCACCTCAATAGTTCGTCAACCCTAGCACCTCTCTGGAGAAAAAAATATGGTGGTCACAAGCAGTGTTGGAGAAGTTCAACCCGTGGTTTCGCCTGACTATGATCGAGAACAAGAATTCAGAGCATTCTTTGATTCTAAAGCTGGTGTGAAGGGAATAATCGATTCAGGCGCGACAAAGATTCCTCGAATTTTTGTCCACGATTTTGATAAGCCTGAGGACAAGCCGTGTCCTGGAAACTCCAATCTTTCCATTCCCGTCATAGATATTGGAGGCATCAACCAAGATGCAGATACGCGCTCAGACACTGTTGATAAAATTCGTGCTGCATCTGAGGAATGGGGGTTCTTCCAGGTAGTTAATCTTTATTAATCAATTGGAATCTCCATCTAATCAATACCAACTTTTCCCCTGTGCTTATGAACAAATCGTTCGTCGACGCCTGATGGTCGAGCAGCTTACGGCCAGTTTCAATTGAGCAAGGATGAGCAAGAGTCGAGATCAAGGAAGCTATATGCAGAGTAGTGTGATTCCAAAAGCTATGCTCAGATATAATAACGGTCCACTTTGATCCTTCCCAGCATTCAAAAAATCAGTTACCTGGGGTGATTGTTATTTCTTGTGCAATTTGATTCATCTTCAGCTGACCTTCAGAATTTGCCAGTGGAGAGATTCAGGTATCGGTGAAAGTCTCATAATTACTCACATATCACTTAAAGTTTGCCCCACTATACCCTTACAGTTCACATCACTTCACGATCAGATTACTGTTTTACCGGTGCAGGAATCCAATGAGCGAGTACATGAATTGTGTTAATACATTAGGTATGACTCTATTTGAATTGCTGTCTGAGGCTTTGGGTCTAAGAAAAGGTTATCTGAAAGATATTGGCTGTGCTGAGGGGCTTTACTTCGTTGGGCACTACTACCCACCTTGTCCTGAACCCGAATTAACTCTGGCGAATTTTGTCCATAATGATTTAGCCTTCCTGAATATGCTCCTGCAAGATCAAATCGGTGGTCTTCAAGTGCTTTACCAAAATCAATGGGTTGATGTCACTCCCGTGCCTGGAGCTATGGTCGTGGACTTTGGAGACATGATGCAGGTAAAGATTTACGTGTACTTTGAGCTCCAAGCACAAGGGATTTTGTAATTGCATATTTAAACATGATTCTATTCAAGCGTGTGTATAGATTGAAGATTCATAGCATGCCGTACACTTGCTAATCTTTCTGTATTTCCCAAGTGCAGCTGATCACAAATGATAAATTCAAAAGCAGTAAGCACAGGGTACTGGCGAAAGAGGTAGGTCCTAGAATTTCAGTGGCAAACTTCATGGTGCCTGCGAATAATGAAGTAGTTACATCGCGAATGTATGAGCCAATTGAGGAGTTGCTATCAGATGAAAATCCCCCAATCTATAAAAGGACAACGATAAAAGACTGCATGGCCCAGCTCTTCTCGAACTATATCAGCGGTGATAGGAGTTCTGCATTGCTGCATTTCAAGATCTGAAAGGCTGTGACAGAGGAAATTTCTTTTGCTGCGTCTTGCTATGTTGATTGTGTGTGTGTAAGATAACCACCCGTGTGAAAATTTGAGTTCACCTAAAATAACGATTTTAGCTACACGCTAAAACGATATATACAAACATAGAAATTCCTAAGAATAAGAGGTGGATTATCTTGTAGTTTATATCTATCGTCGTCTGTCGGATAAGTCTCTGTGTGTGTCTGAAGGATTTGTTGTGGAAGTTTATTGTGTTATATA